ATAGATAGATAGATAGATAGATAGATAGATAGATAGATAGATAGGTCTTGATTGGAGTTGGCAGTCGGCTATAAGGGCTGTGGGTACCAATCCAGAGGAGTGAACTGGCCTCTCCCTCCTGCCCCCCCCAGGTCTCCATGAGCGTGGTCATCTCCAACGTCACCCTGGTGGAGAACGGGATGGGCGTCATGCCCCTGGTCTACGGCCCCCCCTCGCTGTCCCACGCCCTGGCTGATAAGACGGTCCTGGTCCAGGTAGGACGGCCGTCTGGGCTCCGGGGTCCCAGCTGCTCAGTCTGGGGACTGAACCAAGCTCCTCCTCCCACAGGACTCCTGGATCGTGGGCAGCAGCCCCAGCTTTAACTGCTCGGACACTTTGAGCTCTGACGACTTCAACGTGGAGACCACCTCCTCCCACCGAGCCCCCAGGCCCCCATCAGGTACCCAGAGGACACAAAACTAGTTCTATAAAAAACTCTGACAGGAGTTTGCTGGAGGCTGTTAGGAGGTCTGTTAGGAGGCTGTTTGGAGGCCCATAAGGTCAAAGGTTTTCAATCAGGACTCTAAGTTCCTGTAACCTGAGAAGGAATGAGGGAAAAAAAGTGAATTTCAGACGAGGAGTCACCAAGTGAAACATAGAGCTGAGTATCATCTGCATAGAGCTGATATGCAAAGAGCAGTGGGCCCAGCAGTGAGCCCTGGGGGACGCCTGCCTTCAGACAGGGAGATGCAGATGTTTGGTCTGACCAGTCATGAGCGATTTTCTGTCTTATCATGTGCAGGAGGCAGATCAGGAATCTGCTGGCCCACCTTTCAGTCGGCACACAACACGGCTCCAGCCAAGCCGCATCACCTGAACATGAACTATAACGCCATCAAAGGCCTAATGAGGGTCACAGGTTGGTCTGGGCTCTTGGCGCCGTAAAGGGAAACAGCCTCTCTGAATCCTTCTGGCGTCACAGCCCTGTTTATCCCCTCTTTTCAGACACCACATTTGTCCATTTTGGCGACGTCTGCTCTGGTGAAACCGACTTCATGTTCATGACCAACCCGCTGAACGAGGACCTGCAGCACCCGGTTGAGGTGTCGGCCATAAGGACGCTGCACAGCAGCGAGCAGGCCAAAGTCTTCATCCACAGGGCTAATGTCGGGTCAGTCCAATCGTATTGGAGCCATATATGGCAGTGAATTCCAACAGGGAGGCCCAGTGGCCTAATGGATAAGGCATCAGCCTCCGGAGCTGGGGATTGTGGGTTCAAGTCCCACCTGGGTCGAGCTTAAATTTAAGGTTTGAGGTTAAAGGGACATTGTGTAGTATTTTGTTAGCTAAAATCATTCTCTTCATTTCTAAATATGTCCTCATTTGGTGCAAAATCCAATCGTACTGAACACGTCATTGGTCCCTTCCTTCTTGACAAAAAGGCTCAGTGGCCTAATGGATAAGGCATCAGCCTCCGGAGCTGGGGATTGTGGGTTCAAGTCCCACCTGGGTCGAGCTTAAGTTTGAGGTTAAATGGACATTGTGTGTTATTTTATTAGCTAAAATCATTCTCTTCATTTCTAAATGTGTCCTCAATTGGTGTAAAATTACCTCTGCAATGATCTGACTTCTCCTCATAAGCGAAGAATGGAAATTTACTTTGCTTGTCGAGTCGAATACTTGATTGAATTTCACTTTGGATGTTGAAAAATCCATATGTTTAGGTGATGGTAGGTAGAGGTTCTGCTGTACCTTTAACAGCTTTTCTCTTTCTCTTGTTGGGAGCAGCAAAGTGAACCCGTCGGACTGCGTGGACATGGAGTGCGACGCCAAGAAGAAGACGATGCTGAAGGACCTGGACGGCTCGTTCCTGGGGGCCCAGGGTGCCGTGGTGCCCCAGTCGGAGTTTGAATGGGGGGGAGACCCTCGAAGGGGGCTGGGCGACTATCGCATCCCCAAAGTGATGCTGACCGCCCTGAACGGCAGCAGGATCCCCGTGGAGCACATCGCCCCCCACAAAGGTCAGAGCTTCTCTGACTTCATTTTACTGGTTCTTCATTTTGAAATGAACAAACAAACAATCGAAAAATGACCAGAAACAAGAGGAGGGTTACTATTTCAAAATAAAACAGGAGTTACAATTTTAAAATAAAACTGGAGTTGCTAGCTCTAAATAAAAAGAGTTACTATTTCAAATTTAAAAAGTAACTATTTCAAATTATAACAGCTTAGTATTTCAAAATAAAACAGGAAATGAAATGACCACTGCACTGAACGCGGCTCCTCCCTCTTTAACCATTTCTTAGTTACTGATTTCTTTCTCTGCCAGTAATGTTCTTAGTAAATATTCATCTTTGTTCCTCCAGATCCACCAAACTGAGCAAAATTAAACAGGAAGTCACTGTTGTTGAAATGAAAATGTCCCATTTCCTGTCTGATCCACTTGTTAAATTCATAATTCTGCATTATTTTGAGGCCGTTCTGTTGTTGAAATGGTGTGTTCAGGCGTGATCAGGAAAAACTGCACTTACGTGGACTCCTGGCAGAGCTACCGGTGCTTCGGGCTGGACTACAGGATGGTGGTGGTGGAGAGTCTGGACTCGGACACGGAGACCCGACGCCTGTCGCCGGTCGCCGTGCTGGGCGGCGGCTTTGTGGACCTGATCAACGGTGCGCCCCTCTCAGGACTCTGGACACGGTTCTGGTGGAGGGGCGGCTTTTGGATCTGTGTTTTTTCCTTCCTCAGGACCTCAGGACCATGGCTGGTGTGCCGGCTACACCTGCCAGAAGCGGGTGTCTCTGTTCCACGCCATCATGGCCGCCGGCCACGCCTTCGACGTTTATTTCACCAGCGTCAGCCCGCAGAAGCTCCGCCTCCTGATGCTGAACTCTGACCCCTCTGAGGTCAGTGAATGCCTTGGGGGGTCTGTGCTTTGGGCTGGGGGCTCTCTTCTAACCCTCTGTCGACCCCTTGCAGAGCGTCCTGGTGTCGGTCTTCTACTCGAACCCCCAGCGGCTGGATGTGTACGTCAACAACAAGCTAGTGGCTCCAACCAACGCCAACTGGAACGCCGACAGGACAGACTACACCCTGATGGAGCCGACGTCCGCTGGTGCGCTTTGCAGACATAAATTTGTTCGATTAGTCTTTGAAAAGATGTTGTTTATATTGCACAGCTCAACACTTAAATGTGAGGCTAAATACAGCAGCAAGCCACTACTAGCTCAGTGTGGTAGCATAGCTTAGTGTAACCATAACTGTTAGTGTAATGTTCCCATTAGCTTAGCTTGTTGAAACCATTGCCTTAATTCATCAATTAGCTTACCTTATTGTTACCATTAGCTTAATGTACCCATTAGCATAGCTTAGCATAACTGTTACAGTAATGTATCCATTAGCTTAGCTTGTAGAAATCATTAGTTAAATGTATCTGTTAGCTTACCTTGGTGAAGCCATTAGCTTAATGTATCAACTAGCTTAGCTTAATGTAACTGTTACCTTAATGTTTGCAGTTGTTTTCCACCCTGCAGCGTTTGAACCTGTTTTTTACCGGACTTTTCTGCCCTCCAGACGAATTCGTTCCTAAGATGAACGCAACTTTGGGCGCCAACTACTTTGACCGAGACTACAAGATGCAGAGGGTCCTGCTGAGGGGCTCCACGCCGGTGGAGATCCGGACCTCCCCGGTTCTGGTGCTGGCCTTCGACATGCCCGCCATGACCGAGGAGGAGTTCTTTGGGGAGAACCTGGTCCAGAACCTAGCCCTGTTCCTCAAGGTTCCCCCCAGCATGATCCGCATCAGCAAGGTGGTGCGTGAGGACGGCGGGCGGCGCCGCAGGAGGAGGTCCACGGGCCTGACGGTGCAGGTGGAGATCCAGAAGCCCCCCGAGCAGGAGAGCACCAACAGCACCAACGGTGAGCTCTGAGGCCAGCAACGTCTCGGGAGGGTTTTTAACCCGCTCCGGTTAGAGGGAAATTTATCTGTTTATTATTATTATTATTATTACTATTTACTTTAAATTAGTACAGTGTTTTGACACATATTTTTCTTGTTTACTTACTTCATTTTTTTTCATTTGTTATTATTATTATAAAAATTATTATATATATACTTAATATTTAATTAATACATTTTTCTTATTAGTTATCTTCTTATTTACATTTTTTGTCGTCATTATTATTATTTTATTTACCATGAATAAATACTTCTTGTGCTTAGTTTTTGTTTAGATTTTTTAGATATATATATTTCTGTAGATCATTGTATTGTATGTATCTATGTTTTATTGTTTTTCACTGTGTATGAATACAACTCCACCTGTGGAACCTGAGTGATTTTCTAATGTCAGCTTGTTTGTAACTTTGCTCAGATGAAGCTCAGATGAGGCGGTGAGCATAAATCCTTCTCCCTCCCTCTTCTTTCCAGACGGGGACTTTGAGCTGCTGCAGAGGCTGGCTGATGACCTGGGTCAGGCTGCCGTCTCTGGCAACCTGAGCCAGTCCATCGGCTTCAACGTGTCCTCGCTGGGCGTGATTACGCCGCCCCCCCCGTCCTCTGACCCCAGCTGGAAGGAGGTGAGCCGGGCCCCCCCTGCTGCCGTAACACCTTGGCACCTTAAAGTTCTCCCCCTTAAAGCTTCTTCCCCCTAAAGGCTTCACTGTCTCAGCTGGCAGCACCTTAAAGTTCTCACCCTTAAAGCTTCTCTCCCCTAAAGCTTCTCCCCCCTTAACAGGGTTAAGGGGGGAGAAGCTTTAGGGGAGAGAATGCCAAATTTATCATATTTGATACATACGGTTTCTGAAATGTTTTGCGTCTGACACCTTTTGCATAATTTAATGGTAAAATCTTTGCTCAAAATCCTATTGTACACAAACAGATATACCTGATAACAGGGGGCAGAAGACTACACAAAAAACAATCTTGACTTATCGCATAGTAATAAATTATTAATATCAAAAATGTATTTCTGTTTTTTATTTTTACATATTTTGTTAAAAGACCAAATAAGGAATTCAAACAAAAAAAAAGGAATTTTCTGTTTTGTTTTATTCTTGGATCAGGCTTTAAAGGGTTAAAGCTTGTCCCCCCCTTAAAGCTTCTCTCCCCCCTCAGGTGTCAGCTTTTCCCCCCTTAAAGCTTCTCTCCCCCCTCAGGTGTCAGCTTCTCCCCCCTTAAAGCTTCTCTCCCCCCAGGTGGCGTCGGGTGAGGCCAGTAGGGAGGATCCCAGCAGCAGCCGGCTGTCCAGTGTGGCCGCGCTGCTGCTGGTGGTGGAGCCGCTGGCCGGCCAGACGGTGGGGCCTCTGCTGCAGCAGCCCAGCCTGATGGCTGTGGACCAGCAGGTGGGGCACACGGGGGGGGGGGGCACATGGGGGGGTCTGGGCTCAGCCCGTTTATTCTATTGAATTCAAGTGAAATGACGGAGGGGTCAAACTGAGCTGAGAGAATATATTATGACAAAAACACATTTTTAAAGAATTAATTACGAAACCAAAGTCATTACTAAATATGGCCAGAATAAATTCTGCAAAAAAAAGTTTAAAAGAATAAATTGATTGAATATGGAGAGAATACATTTTGACAAAAATACATTTTTTAAGAATAAATTACTAGAATAAAGTCATTATTAAATATGGCCAGAATCAATTCTTGAAAAAAAAGTTTCAAAGAATAAATTGATTAGATATTGAGAGAATACATTTTGACATAAATACATCTTTTAAGAATAAATTACAAGCATAAAGTTTTAAATAAATGGAAAAGCAGTAAAATTAGTGCTTTTTTCATGAAAAAGCATCAACCCTCAGAATGGAACGATGCGTTAACTAAAGATAGAAACTCCCAGAGCTTCTGGTTTGGACCAGAGCTGCTCTGCTTGGTTCACCTAAAACTGACCTGAGCGGTGGTCTGCAGGGCAACTGCGTCTCCGTGGGCGTGACCACCCTCACCGCCACGGCGACCCTGGAGGACGCCAGCGGGGACCCGGCCGGCGGCCTGGGGGGCAACGCCACCATCCGGTTCAGCTCCTGCTGGGCCAACTTCACCGGCCTGTCCGTGCTGCAGAGCGGTGAGTTTACAGCTGCTGGTCCAGCCAGTCCAGCTGGTCCAGGTGGGGCCGGTCCAGGTGGTCCAGCTGGTCCAGGTGGTCCAGCTAGTGCTGGTCCAGCAGGTCCAGGTGGTCCAGCCGGTCCAGCCAGTCCAGGAGGTCCAGCTGGTCCATTTCCCTGGCGGCGGCTGTAACCTCTGCTGTGCTCCTGCAGGCCAAAACCTGACGCTGGCCTTCAGCCTGGAGAGTTGGGCCGCCCGCTCCGCCCCCTTCTCAGTTAGCCCCGCCCCCACCACGCTGGCCCCGCCCCCCAGCACCACCGAGGACGGCAGCATCTTCAGCTCCAGCCCCGCGCTGGCGGCCGGAGGCCTGTGCCTGCTCAGCGTCATCTACGAGGTGGCCTGCTGCTCGGGCGCCATCCCAATATGCTAGGACCACCACCTGGACCCGGTCAGGGGGGGGCACCGGGTCAGGGAGGATCTCCGGCCAGCTGGGGGACACTGAGAGCTTCTGATGGGGCTTTTTCTTTGGGTTTCTTGGGGTTTGATCGTCCACATGTTGATGAAAAGGCTTGCCAGTTAGCTTAGCCTAGCATAAACACTACATATTAGCATTAGCCTCTTAAAGTCATGAAAGGTATTATATCTAGCATGCCACATCATAAAACCTCACCAGAGGGCAGTTCAAATGCAGATTACAATTTAAGATACTTACTTACTTTGACATACTTCAAAGCTTAAAATACCTCTCTTTGGTCTCTTTGGTCACATCAACCATACATTCTTTGCGTGCTAAAGGTGGCGCAGACAACAAACTGGCTGAGGACAAAGCAGTTTTCTATCCTTATAAACACAGTAATGTGCTCTAAAAAGGGACAACTAATATAAATCAATGACCAGTAAAAATAGCTGCTAATCGCTAAACGTCAGGGCTAACAAATGTTTTCTGGATTTAAGGAAAAGTATAAAAGTGCTTTTCCTTTGGGTTTTTGGGGTTTGATGGTCCACATCTCAGGGCTCTGTGACGATCCATTTTTATCTGAGGGGAAACGGGGAGCTGCACTTTATGGATTGTTTTATACTCTACTTTCTGTTTAATAAAGCTTTATCATGGTTAATCCGCCTGTTTTGTATTTGAAATATTTATTGGGGGGGGGCTCAGACTCTGTCCGTGGTGCTGAAGGATGCTGATTGGCTGCATACGTCCTGTTTTCCACCAGAACTATGCTTCTGTTCGTCCACTGGGGGGTGTCCTGTCACCTCACAGCCAGCTGTGGCTGCACACAAACACCAGAACGGTTAAAACACACACGAGCCCCCCCAGTTTATGTTCGCTTGTCTTAGTCTGTGCTCCGGCAGCTATCCTGCAGGAACTGTGGAGGTCCAAAAATGTGTGCTTAATTACACACTTTGTCTGATAGTTTGAATAATCAAGCTTTATTAAATTTAAAAAGGGCAAAATGACTAATCAAAACATTCGAAACACTTTTATAACAAGACAAAACATTCATTTTCCTCATAGTGTAACAGAACAGAGTTTCAACAAGTCAAGCAAAGCTTTCCTTAAAACATTCTTTATTCTTTATTTCTACACAATCACATTTTCTTTCACATTCGCAATAATAGTTTGATTTCCTGAGTTTGCTTCCTGTATGACACACACATGCTTTAAAGGGGACTGTAGCTCAGCTCAGCTTTACTCAACTCGCAAAAAAAATTCTGACACACATGGATTTTTCTGAGTTTGTGACTGAAAAAACTTGCCTAAACAGCCTTTTTTTCGGTGGTTTCGGAGCCGCTGTGGACGCCTGCATCTGAACCCGGGTGCGAGCGTTCCCGGCTCCTGGACGGCGTCCTGGACGGCGTCCTGGACGGCGTCCTGGTGGGTTTTCAGTCGGGGCTCACGGGGGAGTAGTCGTCATCTGGTGTTCAGAGCAGCACAGAGTCACTAACCCTCCCGCTCCCCGTCCGGGGGCCGGCGGCTGTGAGCAGCTCACCTGAACCGTCCGGGGCTCCGGCGGGGAGCAGGGCCTCCGGGGGGGGCGGGTAGCTGAAGGCTCCCAGCTCCGCTCCAGCATCTGCAGCCAAAGCACAGCAGGAATAGGGTCAGAGAGGAAGGCCCCGGAAAGCTGGAGCACAAACAGACACCTCAACCAGAACAAAAGAAGGTTCATTTCCTGTCGTTTCAGGGCAACTTTCTGTTCTTTCTGTTCAAATCCAGACATTAATCTGTGTCCCAGCTCTGTCTTTGGTCATTTTTTACTTTGTTTTTGCATTTTTGGCTTTGCTCTGGTCTTTTTAGCTCTATTTCACTCTGACCGTTTCTGAGCCCTAATGGCAGAAATCCATAACTACCTATCAAAAGCAAGATGAGCATAAATAAGATGAAAGCTCTACATGTTTTCCTCAGAAATGAGGAAAATGATAAAGTCCTCATCGGAAAATCTTAGCAAAGTGGTAAAATTACACATAAATGATAAAGATATCAACCCAAAGACTTCTTAACAAAGAAAAGCAGTCATAAAAATGCAGGAAAAAGCATAAACATTTGAAGCCACCTGGAGTGAAGTTCACATAGTTTGCATTTAAGTTTTCGTAGCTTTCGCCGGAGGAGGTGCTGGAGGAGTCGAACGAGTCCTCTGAAATCTTTGACACTCTGCTGTAGGTGGGTTCTGGGACTCCATTTAGGTTTTTGAAGGCTTCGTTTGGACGATTTGGGCCTGAAGACAGAAGACAAAGTACATAAAGCAAAATGGAAATTATTCAAATGGTTACTTATAATAACTGTCTAAATCCAGTCTACTGTTTAAACCGAGAACAAATCAGGTAAAATATCAGCTAGAATTTAGAAATGTTTTAGATGTTTTTAAACTGAGACAGAAAATTGGAAAAAATTAACAAATATTTAAAAAGAGAGCTGTAATCTTATTCAACCCAAAAAATCCAGAATGAGACTAAATAAAATCAATTATCAGTTTGACTTATCTTTATTATTCAGTTATGAATCTATGATAAAGCCTTTTAAATAATTTTTTCATGGTTCATAATTTTTCTTTTTGATGGATTATTTTTCTTTTCTTAACCTGTTCAATTTTTTCCAATTCAGAAAAGTTTTGGAAAGCACAAACAAGTTAAAAAAGGTTAAGATTAATCTATTTTTAAGTCTTTTAAGTTTTTTATTTTCTCTGGCTTAAATGTTTGTTTGCCTTCATGATTGTATCATTTCATCTAATCATTTGTATCCTCAAGTCCTTTTATTCTCATTCTATGTGTGGATTACCACAAAATAAAGCTAAACCACTGAAGCCTGACTAATATCAGGTTGATACCTGTGTTTAGCTCATTTTCTGTAATAAAAATGACTCACTTTCTTCACAGAGACTGTAGAGACCTGAAGGCTTCAAAGGCAAAACCTCCGTTTTGTGCCGCTGAGAATCTGCAAACAGACACGATGCAGAGGTTTAAAAACAGGCCGATGCAGAGGTTTAAAAACAGGCCGACGCAGAGGTTTAATGGCGCGCTTGCAGCCTGCATCCATCTGCACTCGCACACCCAGCAGAGCCGCCTCCACCGCAAAGTGCAAGCTGCACAGGCAGCAAAGGCAGAGGCAAAAACAACGTTAATGGGAACAAAGAGAAGTTGGCTCACTCCGAAAGGTGGATAAAGGGACGGGCGGGTCATAGCTTGGGCCATACTGCTCATAGTCTGTATCTACTGAGCCGCTGTCAGCACTACTAAGCTGCGTCCACAGATACCTGGGGTCGGAGGGGACTTTGTGGGACAAACACAACAGAAAACAAGAGATGTGATGAGGCGGCCGCATGCTTCATGCATTCTTTCAGAATTCGTTCCCAGCTCGGGTTACGGTGAAAGCAAAAAGGCAGAAACGCTCTGAACCGAGGGCAGGAATTGAACTGGCGTCCTCGGAGCACTGACCATCCGCGTGCTGGGGGTGGGCTGTGACTTTGACCAGGTTGACGGCCTCTTTGTGGTCGTTCTGGGGACGTCCAGTGGAAGGCCGGCTCTGGTTGGTGCGCGTCTGCTGCAGTAAAAAAGCTGCACACACAGAAAAAGAAGCTTTTCCTTATCGTGGTAGTGTGGTTTGTTCTTCGTGTTTACGACTCTTGTGGCCAACATGCGCTCAGTTGCAATAGAGCTTATACACAGAAAAGGCCACATTTGTAACAAAAAAATTACTTTTATAAAGCAGCTCTGATAGAAAAAAGGATTATCAGTTGTTTTACGTTAATGCCCTGATTTCCGACGTTCGTTTCACACTCATTTGCCCCCTTCTTTCTGTCTTAAGTTGTCCAAACAAGTCACAATTCACTTAAAACCAATAAGGCCTTAGCGTGCTCGTGCTAGGTTGGATGTGCTAACAGCTAGCTTCAAAATACTAAAATACAAAATTGAGGAAAAAGAATTACATTAACTTAATATCTGATGTCTCAGGTTGTCCTTTGAAAAAAAATCTCAAATCAAACCTTAGGTAGAACTTCACACTAGCTGTTGTCTGAGGTTGTCTTCTGAAACACTATCCTGAATTTAACTTCAAAATAATTTTCTTTTAGCTTTAGCATACTAGCTCCTAGGCAAGTTTGGCTAATAACTATCTTCAAAATCCCTAGTGTTAAGTAAACAGGAATGCAAAAATGCCCCAAAGAAATTACACTAACATTTACAGTCAGTAAGTAGTGGGATGTTGGATAGTGCTCCCAAACCAAAATGACACATTTTCACAGTTTCAATAGATAAATTGATGGGTATTTACCCAGTAAGAGGTTGCTTTTTCATCATGGAAAAGCTCTATGTATGACTACAAAATCAAATCCTCAACCCAGTTTAGTCATTTGTAGAAGACCCACGTGTGTTTTCAGCCCCCGTCTGCTCAGCCTGTAGACTCAGCCACACTACAACATCAAATCCACAAAACGCAATGGCAGGAAATCTGCAATTTTGCAGCCTTGCTCAGAGAACAACCTGACACAGATAAAACCAAACTGGTTTTATTCCCCTTCAGGGGCTGAAGGGAACAGTTGTGGGTCTGGGGGAGAACCGGGCCTGGCCGTGCCACATCTCCACCTGGTTGAAACTCAATGAATTTCAGTCTGGACAACAGAACTAGATAAGATATGTGCTATACCCATTACGGTGTTACTCTTTTGTGACAGAGTAGACCCATTTTTTTCTCTGTTTGACTGTTTTGCTCTGTTAATTTGCATTCAAGGCAATAGAGTAAAAAGCTCTTTGAATCCGATGCACTGCTGCAGATTAAAGGACTGTGACGGCTGGTGGAGAGCCGAGAACCAACCGTTTCTTCTTCGGTAGAGGCAGCAGAGCACAGTGTTGATGATGAGGAAGACGAGGAGCACCACGGACAGGACCATGCAGCTCAGGAGCTCCAGGGACGGGAAGCTGGGCCCAGCACCAGCAGCCGGCCCCAGCCGGGTCCACGCTTCTGGGTCAGGGGAGTGAAAACATCATTATTTCACCTTCTGCTCGTTCATCCAACACTCACAGAGGCACTCGTGTTTAAAGGGCTACATCTTCAGTACAGTATAACCCCTACATACGAATTGAACTCGTTCCAGGACCTACTTTGTATGTTAAAATATTTGTATGTTTGTTCAAATATTCCCATCAGAATACACTGTAATTCCTATAATTCGTTCCACAGCCCAAAAATCTACAATAAGAGATAATTACACATAGCACTAATGCATTATATAAGAGAGATGTAAAAAGAAATAAAACATAAAGAAATAATCAACGGAAAGGGTTTTTTAGAGGCAGAGAGAGGAAGACAATGAGATACAGGACGTACCCTAACTTACTCTAATTTACGTGAACTTTAAACTAACTTAGCTTATTTATTTTTATTAAATTTAAATATTTATATATTTTTTTCTATGACTTCGACGTCATGTTGGAAATTTATTTTGGGTGTCAAGTCGAATATTTGATCAAATTTCACTTTGGATGTTGTAAAATTAGCATGTTTAGGTGATCGTAGGTAGTGTTTCTGCTGTATTACCTGTCGTCCTCTGCGTCACCTCGCCGGTCGGAGCCACGGTGGCATTAGGAAGGCCGAGCGAGCCTGCAGGAGGAAAAGCAGAGAGGATATTAAGGTTAACTCCATCTGTCCTTTGAGGCAGAAACAGCTGAGTGTGCGTTTCATGTCTAAAAACTTAAGAGGTTTAGTAAATATCAGACAGCAAGAGTCAGGTTTGTGGTTTTCACAGAGTAAAGTGTGTCATTCTGACATTTCCTGTGATTTTTGTAAAGATTTTTAGCAATTGTTTTGTTACTTTTTTGGTTTTCTACTTTGAATTGAGATGCTTTGTGAATTTAAGGAGTCTTTTGTCACATCACACAGCTGCCTGTTACTATTTAAAAAATGTGTGAAATAAAAATGTGTTTGCCTGTTTTCTGCTGTTTTCATCCAAGAAAAATACAAAAAAAAGCGGGCACCAGCACTCACCGTTGCAGATGACACCAGAGGGTTTGGAGCTAATGCAATAATAAGGGTGATTGATATGCTCCTCACACTGCCAGAGACTCTGGTCCTTTCCACATGAATAATAGTAAAACGGTGTCTCCTCGTTGCGGCTGAAAGGAGGCAAAAAGGCAGTGTATTTCTGGGGCGTTTCCCCACAGTTTAGCAGGGAGCAGACCATGGAGGCCATGTCTTCGTCCCAGCAGTTGTCGCACAGCTCCCCCCAGCTGCCGTTACGATGGATCTCCACTTTCCCAGAGCAGCGATCCAGGCCCCCAGTCAGCCGGATGGCCCTCATCTCTGCACAGGAGCAGCAAAAACATTAGGTAAGTTTCGTATTTGTGCTTTGAATTAAAAAAAACCCCCATCTCTGAACCATTTCCAGCAGCTTTCGGTGGATCCATGAGAATTTTTTCCCTTCTGCTGTGTTTCAGAGCTGTTCGGTTGGTGTTATTTTCCATTTTTCTAAGCAAATTTGAAGCAAAGCTCAGCTAGAAAACTTTTTTTTTTATTCAATTCAGTGGATTTTGTCTTTGGAGAGCATTGAGAAATTAAAATAATGCGCCACACAAGCTGCACATCAAGTTTCGCTTTACACCTAAAATAAAAAATAAATCCAATTATCTCTGAGTGTCTCTGTTGGTTTATCCTGTCTTGTTTTTTTGTTGTTTTATAGTGAGCATGCACATCAGTCCTGATAAGACTCAGTGTGAAACTAGTTTGGAGGCTTTTATAAAGACCGCTTTTCACACTTATTTTAATCAATTATTGTTACTGTTATGATGTGCTTTTTATTATATAAATTCAGAATGTAATATAAGAATGTGCCCCACTTGGGCACAAAGAAGTTATTTTAAATTTTTTATTCCTAAAAACAATAAAAACTTTTAGATAACATATGAAAAAAGATTAATACTTTGGGGCCTTTTTAGTAGTGATAAAAAAAAGGTATTTTAATGTTTTTGTTTTTTGATTTCACTTAAAATAAATACTTTTGGGCCGTTTTCAAGGTGATTTTTTAAAATGTTTTTTTCTTTATTATTATCTATTTTATTTATTCATTTTTTGCTGTCACTTTCAAAAAAGGATTAATACTTTGGGGCCTTTATAGAGGTGTTACAGAGGTGTAAAAAAACATTTTAAAAAGTTTTTTTAATCTATTTATTTATTCTGTTTATTTAATGTTTTGCCTTTTAGAGGTGATTTAAAAATATATTTAAAATTTACTTTTTATTTTTATTTTTATTGCTTTCACTTTTGGTTAGGGAAAATTCGCGGCCTGGTTAAAAGCGGAGCATGGATTGGCTGCATCTCCCGGAGCGCCTCTGACCTGAGCACACCACGCCGGCGTCCTCCTTGTGCCCGCAGTCGGACTGGTTGCGGGCGGCCGGGCAGGCCCACAGGTTGGGCTCCCGGCCGGAGCAGCCCAGCTCATCCAGGTGGACGGGCCCCCTGCCGGGGGGGAAGGCCCCGCCCTGCCCCGTCACGCTGAGGGCGAAGCCGCAGCCCAGCTGGCCGCACGCCACCCCGCCGTCCCTCAGGTCCCACTGGTCGTCGCACACCGTGCCCCACTGCCCGCCTCGCCACACCTCCACCCGCCCGGCGCAGCGGTCCGGGCCGCCGGCCAGACGCACCTGCTGGTCACCTGGGGATGACATCATCAGTCAGAGGCCAGCCCACTGACCTCTGGTCCCAGCCAGGGCGGGTCTAAAAGGGCCAGAGGCGGCATAGCCCCCTTAAAATAAATGCTTTGCCCTTCAAACTAACCCCTCCAAAAGTGGATCTAAACAAGACGTCTCCCTCATTCCACCATCCACCTCGATCTGCTCGGTGGAGTTTAGAGACCAGCACACCAAATCCAGGGTTCAGGTTTAACCCTCCAAAAGTGGTTATAAAACTGATGCACCCACTAGCAGAAATCCAGCTTTAAAAAAAATAAATAAATAAATAAAAAAACCCAGATGTTCAGTCACACTCAAACCCGGTTAACCGACCCTAAACTCCCCGACGAGAGAGGGACAAGACCAGAGCAGGCAGGCATCAAGCAAAGCCGCTCTCATACATCCTGAAGCCGGAGGCCTCTCAGAGTTACACACCGAGCTAAAACAGGAGCTGAAAGCTGGCAGGTTTCCCCTAAAAAAGAGCCACATCTGGCCGCTAGCGCAGCTCAGACAGCAGATCTAAACAAGACGTCTCCCTCATTCCACCATCCACCTCGATCTGCTCGGCAGAGTTTAGAGACCAGCCCACCAAATCCAGGGTTCAGGTTTTAGGATTAAGGGGAAGAATGCAGATAAAGGCTCCCAGATACAACAGGACAAAGTCAAGAAGAAGAAGAACAAGAAGAAGAAGAGGGAGAAGAAACATATACATTTCACCCTCAACAGCCTGTGGCCCCCCAGGACAGAATTTCACATTTTATTCAGATTAATGAAGAAATCTAAACGTCCATCACAGCAGGAAATCTGGGCTCTTTCTCACAGATCTTCTGGTAAACGTGAGGTTAAAGCCCGTTTAGCCTGAAGAACTGTCTGTCCTCTGCTCATGTCTCTGCTTTGTCCTCAGGCCTCTCACACCAGGCTGTCCCTCTCTGAGGCCCGGATCTGGACCAGATCTGGTTCTGGACTCACCACAGACCACCTGGTCCAGCGCGGGGCAGTGGCCGGCGGCGTCCCGGGTGCAGTTGATCAGGTGGCGTCCTCTGAGCGTGCAGTGCCGGAGGCAGGCGGCGCCGGGCGTCGGGGGGGTCCTGTCCACCCTGTAGACCCCCCCACAGCCCAGGTCCTTACACACCTGATCAGCCAGAGCGTCCAGGGCGTACGACGGGAGGGACACCGGCTGGCCAGCATCCAGGCCGGCCGTCCTGAGAGTCCAGCTGCACCCAGCCGCCAGACGCTGGACACGGGGAGCATCTGGACAGACGAGAACAGGCGAGAAAACGGATGAGGATAGATGACAGGACAAATGAGGACAGACGAGAGGACGGACAAAGACAGATGAGGATGGACGAGGACAGATGAGAACACGTAAAAAAACAAATAAATGAGCGTCCAAATCAAGAATTTGGAATATAATTTGTTCATTATTAGCTCAAATATGTCATTAGATTTGTAAAAATGCGATCAGCTGCATTTCAGTGACTACATGTTGTTTATTTCAGATTACAGCCATAAAAAGCCTTATTTTCTTCCTTTACATGCATCTCTGCTCATCAGATGTAAAACAAGGTTTAAAATACTAATACTGACTAATATTTCTGATAATTTTTTCTTAGATATTCACATTTAAATTAAAATCAGATTCATCTTCGTCCACTTCGGCTGCATTTCTTTGTACAAAATGGAGGGAAGCATCATTTTTGAAAGCAGAAGCATGAAGGTGTTTTTTTTGTTTTTTTGCAGCATGTTGTTGAGGAAGCGGCCCAGTTTGGTGCTGCAGAAAAGCAGCAAAAAGACATTTGAAGCGTCTGCGTGGGAGCCGGAGCTCTGCCTCCTCTTCTCAGTTTGCACCTGCAGTCCCCCCCCCACCCACATCCGGTTATGATGGTAATCTCACACGAAAAGGGGGGACTCACCTCTGAGCTCTGGATTGGTGTCTTCTGTGGTGTTGGCTTCAGCTCGGCCGGCTGGACTCGTTGAGTTTTCAAAAGCTGGAACAGGGAGAGCCACATAAGCGGGAAACATCAGGAGCAGCTCCCAAAAACACATCAAACATTTCACACATTTCCTTCCTCCTCCGTCATGAAACCTCATTTCTTTTGGCTTTGGTCATTTTAGCTCTGTTTTACCTTTTGGGGTAATATTTAGCCGTTTTCCCCCTTTTTTTGCTGTATTTTTGGTCATTTTAAGCCGTGTTTTTGCTTTTCTTCCTCCATCCTGAAGCCTCTCTGGGAGGAGTCTCCAGGAGCAGCTCTCCAGCTTCTTGGAGGACATCCCAAAGCTCTTCTCTGGATGCTGCTGCTGCCTTTGGCTCCGTTCTCTGTCACATGATCCCACACTGCTTCATGATGTGGAGCTCCGGCTCTGGAGGATCCATCCCTCCATCAGAGCTGCTGGGGTTCAGTCCACCTCTGGTTCCTCTGGCAGAGCGATGCCTTTCCTCCCTGTTTCCTTCCTTCAGAAGGGCTTCTTAACAGCCCCCCTTCATGGAGAGCATTTCTGATGAGGCCACCAGGAGACGGTCAGCTGGAGGTCCAGATGCAGCTCTCAGCTCCTGTTCAGTTCTCTGCTGGATCTGCTCCTCTTTACCTTTCAGATCCTCTTCATCTGCTGGATTACAGAGTTTTTTAGGCCCAGCTCTTCTTCTTCTGTCCTCCACTGGTCCAGTTTCTTCAGATGTTTTCAGGAATCTCTGCTCACCAGCTGAGATCTGCCCAGTTTTCAGCCAGCAGCTCTTTGGGAATCCTCAGAAATCCTGTTTCCTGTCTATCAGAATCTGTTTTCTTTGGGCTTTTTACTCCATCAGCTAAAAAATTGGAACAAATGATGTGTCTCTGTGACAGGCTGCTGCTGACAAAAAGCCTAAAGATCCACTTTAAACTACTGCTCTGCTGATTGGACACAACGCTGGCTCAGCCCTTGAGTTAGGGGCCTCTTTTCAACCAAGTAAAAACACATTCCTCTGAAAAAGTTCAGCTAACAGGACTGAAAATGACAAAAGAAGCAGAAAAAGATGCAGAAAGCTGCGGCAATGAGACACTTTGGAGATTAAAATCTGGCTGCTTAGAGGTTAAAAAAACAGTATCATGTTTTCTAGTCAGATGGTTTAAATCTTTAAAGACTTGTGATTCAGTATGGTAGATAACAAAACCACATTTTTTAAAACGAGATCAAATCTTAAAACTGTCTTTGATGCTCAAGTCAACACTTTTTAACATCTTTTCAATCGATTATTTTTTTGTGTTAGGAAAAAAGTTAATCCACAACAAAGACTTGCTTTAAGTTTCAGCTTCACCCCAAAAAACAAAAATTGTTTTTTGTTAAAACAGAAACAATTTAATGTTTCTAAAATGATTATTAGAGTTGAAGAATGGAAAACAATATTTGTGAAATAGTTGTGATTCTAAAGGCGTCTTTTAGAAGCAGAAGGGGGTCTTTACCTCCACAGACAGCGCTCAGATGGATGATTAAGAGGCTTTGCAGCAGCTTCATTCTGGGGACAAAAACAGGTGAAATCTTCCAGCGTCTCGGAGCTCAAACTTGCACAGACTGGCTCCTCTGCACCGTCTGGCTTCCTCTCATCACCCCGTGTGACATTTACACCACAAAGCTTCCAATTTGCTGAATTGTCACAGGAAATGAGACTCGTCGAGTGTTTTTCACAGATGCATTCACACTGGTGGAAAATAAATGGCACCAGGAGCCCTCAGCCTCTCAAAGGGACTTTTTAAACCAAAAAGGAGGATCTGAAAAAGGGAGATTAAGAGCTGCAAAAAGGCTCCAAGGGAATAAAAAAGTAAATCTCAACCAGATAAATAACATAAAAAGCTGTTAAAAATGTAAGAATTTTATAGCCAGGAATGATTTTGTTTCCATTAACGTCACCGGATGTGAAGGAGTGCATGAAAAACTGCACAAAAGTCAGCCGTCCAATCAGAAAGTAGAGCCAAACCCGCAAGAAGTCCACCACAAGCCCAAAGGGGCTAAGATGAAAGGGACAGATTCACACATAAAGGTAGGAAACAGGGCCGAGGCCACAGAAACAGGGGTGGTGGTTAAGTCCTGGTTACCTCGAAGGCCCCAGAACAGGCCACATCTGGGTTCTCCTCCGCTTTTATGAAATGCAACATCTGGATTATTTTACCATTGAATTAAATGCCACATCTGGATCCCTCCCTGCCTGGACTCAGTTCAACATCTGTATAATTTTCCCCTTGAATACAATGCAACATCTGGATTATACCACCTTGAATACAATGCAACAT